TTGTTTGATCAGCCATTCTCTTCTTTGGCTTGTGTCCACGTGCCAGTTTCTATGGAGGACTGCTCTGCTTTTGTCCATTCCGTCCTTCTCTGCACTGAACCCAAAATAGAAAATGGGCCATGGACAGGATGGGAGCAATGGGTGTTTGAAAAAGAGCTAGTCAGTCTTTCCTACAGCCACAGTATGGACTGAACACAGGCTATTTTCAGAGCAGGACTGGTTTCTGTCACTTTGAAAAGTACTCAATTGCATAGTCTTTGGGATAATTTTTTAACAGCTGTATTTTGTGGGTGCTTAGGTTTTGAAAGTATAAATTATAAGTGTCTTTACTAGAAATTTATTAGAAGTGAATTTTACTTAATTTTTTTAAATATAGCAAGCATAAAACTGTTCAACATTGTATAAATAAATAATTTTTTCCTTCATCTTCCTTTCTCACATTCCTGGAAACACTGAAGTTAACTTATAGTGATTCCTTTTTTAGGAAACTAACCATGAATAGAATGTACGCATATATGTGTTCATGTGTAAGGTTTTTAGTTATTTCCTAAAGATGCTCTCTCTCTTGTGGCATACCTATTATTTTGATGCTTTTCCTACCACTTAAAAATACTCCACAGGTGTCTCTCTAGGTCAGTAGAGGAGCTCATTATTAATTTGCAGAAGAAGTTCATTATCTGCCCTACCTACAAATAAGTGGTATGGTAGGTCAGTGGTGGATAGTGTAGAACTCAATCCAGCCATCCCTCTTCTGGTTTAGCTGGTTTTCTGTTTTCAGCCTCTATAAATTGCAGAGAAAACATCATGACATTAAATCCTTTTCCAGGTCAAAGGTTAGTGTGTTGTTAATGTTTTAAATAGTGCCAGGCAACTTTCCTGAAAGGTTTTAGTCATTTGTGTTCCTACTTCTCTGCATCATTCCAGGAGTAAAAGATATTATTGTACCATGCTTCAGTTTGTTTTTCTGCTTACTGTTTGCAGTTTTCACGTTATGTATTTGTCCTTATGATTTCTGCTTCATCTTTCACTTGCCTGTTCATTTTCCTCTATGTTGTATTTTTGTTTATGTTTTCCTTTTGCTCTTGTGGAATAGTTAAGAATCTGGGCTCCCAAATGAGACAGTGCATGTTTGAAGTCTGGCCTTTATTTAATATTGTGAGACTTTGGAAAAACTACTTAACCCCCATGCCTTAGTGCCTTGTCTTTAATGAACAGAGTTAATAACAGTACCTACCTCTGAAGGCTGTATAGCACTTATTTATTTTTGTGATGCTAGGGATTAAAAGCAAGGCATCACACATGCTACACATGCTGCACATGCGCTCTGTAATGAAGCTACACTCCAGCCCTAGGTTGTGAGAAATAAATGGGCACTGAGGATAATATCTAGCAGTGGATGTTAGACATCGCCATCAATATCAGCTTTCACCATTCTTGTTATTCCAAACATTTATTATTTTCTGGCCCTTGTGTGAAGCTTCACCCTTCCTAAGCCACATTTTCTCACTTCCTGGATGCCATTTTACATGGTAATTCCTCAGCCACCATGTATTGCGCTTCATCGCTGTTTAATGCATCATTTGAGGCCTTGGAGTGGTAAGAGGAACTTCAAGAAGCCAGGGTTGCTTATTGTCTAGGCCATGGCGCAGCTGTGTGTGTAAGGCAGATCACAGGTTTCATTCATTGGAAGCTGCCCCTTCATTCCTATCAGTAGACCTCTCTGCTGGACGAATACACTCACTGAGTATCACTGACACATCAGGATGCTTTGTGTCTTATTGAACTACTGGGATTTCTTTTTCTTTTATGATGTCTGCATCCCCATTTGCTAATTATATGGTGCTCAGAGCAGTTTTTCTTGCTCTATTAATTTCTCATCTCCTGGTGTGGTCAATGCAGATTACAAAGGCTTCCAGAAAGGAACAACGATTTCATCTGCATTAAGAGTCCAGTGCCCTATGTTGGCATCTGAGATCACAGTTTGCCTTTATTGAAGGACTGGAACAGTCATTCAGAAGTAGAAAACAGTACCTACTTGTGGTGGCTTGCTGCATCTTGTACCTATGCCTTCCTTAGGAAACTCCTAAGGAAATGCAGTGTGCACTGCAAAGCAAGTCCTTTGGGATCAGTTAAGTAGATTCCACTATTGCATATTCTAGCTCTTTGGATGTGAAAAATTAGTAAAAGGGAGTGACATGAAGGGATGACATGAATCTCATCTTCTACATAGAGAGAGCCTACCTCAGCCACCAGCACATATTTTACAACAAAAACATGAACAGGAAATGTGCAGAATACTCCCTGACCTCCAAGAGCCTTCACTCCCATAGATACCATCCCAATAAACATGGTTGGGGTGTGAGACCTTAGTGTCATCTTGTGAAAAGGCAGTCTAGGCGAGGCCAGGTAGCCAGAGCTGGCCTTTCATTATGAGTGTCATTTCATTAACAGAGGCAGTCAGATAAATCTAGTATGAGTGTTTGAGTCATTGCCAAAGACTTACTATAACAACTTTGGGACTGAAAAAAAATTAGTACGACGCTTAATTTCTCCTTAGCTTCCTTTAGAAATGCAGTAATAGAGCTCACTCGGCCATCAACAGCAAGGAGAGTTATCTTCTTCACTGTGGCTGTCACTGCCCCATTGTCAAGGGCTGAAAGGTAGCTCGTGTCTTTGGGGAAAGTAGCAGAAGAGAAGAGACTGTTCTAGTTTGAACTCCATAAATTACCTGTAAAAACGGAGAGTAATGGAGAGCTCTGACTGTCTAGAAGAAATGGGTGCAGGCATGATCAAATGAAGGGCTTAGAAATGACTTGTATCCTTCTTCTTTTTCATTTCCCCCAAATTCTGCATCTCTACCTCCATCACTGCCGCCGTATGTCCATCTCTTTCTGTAGTTTCTTTTCTATCCCTTCAGCGTCCAGTCTCTCTTATTCTGCAGAGACTCAATCCACACTCTTTCTGGGGAATCATATCCACTCCTGAAACCTCCACTCCCACCTGCAGGCTGATGTTGCCAGAGTCTGTAACTCTAATCTTCATCAATGCCCTGTGTTCAGGTCCTGTGGCTCTAGCCATTTACTGAATATTTCCAGTTGGAAATCTCACAGGCTGCTCCACTTTAACATCTTTTCCACAGATTTGTTCTTGTCTCTAAATTATCTGTCACCATTCTACAGGCCACCCTAGAAACATGGGATCTGTTATGGCCCTTCCTGAGACCCTGGGAGGCTGTGGTGACAGCCCAAGAAAGATACCGTGGGCCTCCTAGTCTTAGCCTGTTTAATTTGTTGCTCAGCACTGCCTGAGTGATACTTAAAAGCTGCAAAAGTCATATTTTATTTTTGCTTAACTATGGTAGGACATGTAGAATTCCAGATGAAACCCCCAGTCATTGGCATCAGGTCCCAAGTTTGTTTCTCTTTACTTGTCCCCATGCTCAATCATGAAGTCCTAATGAATGACTTGCTCACTTCTGGGGTGTGATTTGCCCCTTTGCCTGTGCAACACCCCCTCCTAGAATGCACTTTCTTCATTTCTCTGGCCAAATGTGCTCATCATTCAAGATGGGCCTGCCTCTGGGAGGTCCCTCCTAGTTAGCTCTAGTCCAGGTGAACACTTCATTCTTACTGCCTGTTAACTTCTGCCTCCTCAGCCAGTGTTTTTAGGGATCAGAACTTTGTTCATTCATGTTTGTATCTCCAGTGTCTGACACATAGTAGGTGATCAGTGAGTATTTATTGAATGAATCACCATTTTCCTTTTTAACATTTGCAAGATAATTTTATTTATTGTGTATGTGTGTATATGTATGTGTGCACAGCTTTTGGGAATTGGTTCTCTCCTTCCACTACATGGGACCCAGGAATCAAACTCGGATCCTCAGGTTTGGCAGCAAGCACCTTTACCCACTGAGCCATCTCACCAGCCCTGATTCAGCATTTTGTCCGTCAAGATCTGCCTTAGTTCTCTCTATCACACATTTAAAATGTATTCCTTCCTTTGGGGCTAGAGAGATGGCTCAGTGGTTAAGAGCACTGACTGCTCTTGCAGAGGACCCAGGTTCAGTTCTTAGCACCCACATGGCAGCTACGAATCGTCCTTAACTTCAGTTCCAGGGGAATCCGAAGCCCTCTTCTGACCTTTGTGGCATTGCACGACACAGGTGCACTCACATACATGCAGGCAATACACTCATACACATAAAATAAAAATAATCAATAAAATATATATATTTTTAAATGTATTCCTTCCTTTTCCCTGTCTTGTATCCTTGGTCTTAGACTGGATCTTACTTAGTCCTTTCTATGAGCTGGACTCAGTTTCATCCTCAGTGTCTGTCTATCTGTCTGTGCATCCTTTTCAGTCAGCCTGGAATGTTTGTGTTTTCCTTTTTCTATATAAATTCTATCCTTTTTTTCAAAACCTGCCTCCTATTCTATGACTTTGTAAAGCCTGGATGGTTTTGTGCTCAATCTCTTTCTGCTTTCTTTAGACTGTTTTGACTCTAGAGTTGGTTGTGAGCCTCCTTATGGTGTGAGCACCTAGGCTGTATCTCTGGTAGTGTTACATCCTGTGTTGCCTAGACCACAGTGTGCACCTGTTGATTGACCTACCACTGTCTCCCTGAGACTAGGCAGGATTGTCTAACAGCCTATCTTCAGGATGGGACAGCCTCCCAAACACATGTGAATGCTTTTTTAAAAAAAAGATTTTGTTGGGGCTGGAGAGATGCCTCAGCGGTTAAGAACACTGGTTGTTCTTGCAGAAGACCTGGGTTCGAATCCCAGCACCCACATGGCAGCTAACAACTGCCCATAACTCCAGTCCCAGGGGATCCGACAGCCTTTTCTGACCTCCACGAGCATTGCACGACATGGGTGCACTTACCTACATGCAGGCAATACATGCATACACATAAAATAAAAATAATAAATTTTTTTAAAAGGTTTAAAAAAAAGGATTTTGATAAATGTAATTTTTATTTATCTCATCCACAGAGTACCAGAGAAGCAGAAATCAAACTGAAAAGTGAGAGCAGAGTTAAACTTTTTTACTTGGACCCAGATGCCCAGGTAAGAACTCTTTTAATAATTAAAAAAAAAGTTAAAAATTCAAAACTCCTAAGTATTTGATATTCAGTGTATTGTTGAATATTGAGAGGAACCTAGCCAAGGCCATTCTCAGATCCACAAAGATCATCTAATGAACCCATTAAAATACTAATTAGGAAACAGTGTGTCACTGCAGACTTTCAGGAGGTAGCAATGCTCCTCAGCTAGCTTAGGCTCAGTCCCAGAGGTGAACATGGCAGTGTGCAGCCCACACCTGTGCCCCAACTATGTCAAACGTGATGTGACACAGCCCTTCAGAGCCCATGACAGTGAGTGTGGCACTGAGCTGCTGAAAAGGGGAGAGGCTGTCCTATATTTTATCCTAGAATACTTACTTTCTCACTTGTGGGTTTTTAAAAATAATTCTTGGTTTATGCATATGAGTATTTGTCTACATGTGTGTAAATGTACCGTGTACATACAATGCCTCAGAAGCCAGAAGAGGATGTTGGGTCACCTGGGACTGGAGTTATGGACAGTTGTTAGCCATCATGTAGGTGCTGGGAACTGAACCCACCCATGCCCTCTGCAAAAGCAGCCAGTACACTTAACCATGGAACCATATCTCCAGCCCTCTGTGCCTTTTTAATACAATAACTTCTCCCATTTTAATAATAATTTTTGATGTTTCTTCACACATATGCATGTATTTATTGGGGTAAAATACATGTAACACTAAATGTTACTATTTTAGCCATATAACAGAATTTTTAAAATTTGCTGTTATTGTATGAGTTTGCACATATGCCACAGCACTTGTGTGGGGGTCAGAGGACAACTGCGTGGAGTTGGCTCTCTCTTTCTAACCTTTATGTGGGTTCCAGGGATTGAACTTGGAATGCTAAGCTTTCATGGCAATTGCCTTCATGAGCTATCTCACCAGTTTTTAGCCACTTTTCAAAATACAATTCAGTGGTATTAAGTATATTCTCTGTGGAACCATAAATCGTCATCTATTTCCAGAATGGTCTCATCATCCCTGACAGAAGCTCTCTGTTAGATAATAGTTTCTTCTTGCCCCCAATCCCCTGGCGACGTGTTCTACTTTTGGTCTCTATAAATTTGACTATTTTAGCAACCTCACCAATGTGGAATCATAAAGATTTTGTCTTTTTGTGTTTTGCTTCTTTCACTTAATCTGTTTTTGGGGCCCAGCCATTGTCAGGATATTCTTTTATTTATTATTATGGGAGAAGTGTGTATACCACTGTGTGTGTGGACAGGTCAGAGGATGACTTAGGAGTCAAGTTCTCCCTTTCTGCTATACTTCCAGATATTGAACTCAGGTTGCCAGACTTGTGTTGCAAGCACTTTTACCTACTGAGCCATCTTGCTGCCCTAGAATTTCCTTTTCATGGGTGATTAGTAGTCTTTTTGTTTGTTTTTTTGCAACAGGGCCTCATGGTGTAGCCTTGACTGGCCTGAAACTGCTATGTAGACCAGGCTGGCCTTGAACTATCAGACCTGCCTGCCTCTGCTTCATGTGCACTGAAACTAAAGGCTTGCACCACTTTGCCCAGAGCTGACTAATAGTCTTTTGAATGTGTGTATATCTGAACATGCTTATATATGTATAATACATTTTATGCATCTTTCTACCTATGTTTATGAGTATTTAGGTTGTGTATAACTATAATTTTAATCCATGCATAATCATTGAGTAGATATATGGGATATTTATTTGACCTTCTATTAGTTTATAATAAACTAAAAGTGACTATTAACTATGACATGGACATGAACTTATAAAATCATAACTTGGAGCTGGAGAGATGGCTCAGTGGTTAAGAGCACTGGCTGTTTGTGCAGAGGATTCGGGTTTTTTTTTTAATAATTTTTTAAATGTTGGTATTAAAATTGTAACTGTATTGTGGATGAGTGTATATATATATATATATAGCTTTTCCTTATTTTATGTTATTAACTATGACATAGACATGAACTTATAAAATCATAACTTGGAGCTGGAGAGATGGCTCAGTGGTTAAGAGCACTGGCTGTTTGTGCAGAGGATTCGGGTTTTTTTTTTAATAATTTTTTAAATGTTGGTATTAAAATTGTAACTGTATTGTGGATGAGTGTATATATATATATATATAGCTTTTCCTTATTTTATGTGAGTACATATATAATGGATTTTTAATGAGAGCATGCTGTATTTATGTATTTACATTTTCTTTTTAAAGAAACCTGACTTCTCATCCATTGAGCCAGAAGTAAAGCCATTTGAAGAAAAGTTTGGGAAAAGGATTCTTGTCAAGTGCAATGATTTATCTTTCAATCTACAATGTTGTATTGCCGAAAATGAGGAAGGACCCACTACAAATGTAATTCTCCTTTTAAAAATTAACATTTGTCCTTTTAAATGTTGAAAGATCAAATGTCAGCGATTTCCCATTACACTGAAGCCTGGTTGTAGAATCTTAGCACCCAGAGGCATAGAGATTTCCCATTACACTGAAGCCTGGTTGTAGAATCTTAGCACCCAGAGGCATAGAGTTTGGGTCAGGGTATTGGGGGTGGGGTAGTATTCAGTCTTCAGGGACAGGATATTTGTGACCAAAAACAAGATGTTAGGTTTCTGCTCTACATCCAAAATGTTCATCTTAGATGCTTGAAAGAGAGCAACTGTCTTATCTATAGAGCATTAATTAAGTAACAAAATGAATAAGGGTAAAGCAGTAGGTTTGTTTCTTAGAATGCTTTCTGGCCTAATTGTGTGACTAGAGACAAAGCTATGCATGTCTGGTCATCATTTATGGTGGCAGTCATAAGCACGAATCATCATGCTCCTTCCACAGCAGCATTTCTTGCCAACTCTCTGAACTGCCTTGATGATCTTGGCATTTTGTCATTGTTCAGGTAGAACCTTTCTTTGTCACTCTGTCCCTGTTTGACATAAAATACAACCGAAAGATTTCTGCTGATTTCCACGTGGACCTGAATCATTTCTCAGTGCGGCAGATGCTGGCTCCCACGTCTCCAGTTCTGATGAATGGTGGCCAGAGCCCACCTGCCCTTCAGGACACCCTTCATGCAGCAGCCATACAGTATCCGAAACAGGTTGGTGTAGGGCCAGTAGCACTCAGACTTCTCTCAAATGAGATGTTAGTATGTTGAAAATGCCAAATGAGGCCTTGTAATGCACCAGTGGGACAGTCTAATTATATGGGCAGTATTTATAATTAGATCATGAAGGCAAAGTGAGTCCCCAATCCTTCCTCTAAGCCTTCTCCCACTTGCCTTCTACACCAAGTAGACTTGAGCTGATGATGAATTGAGCATCACCTTGTATGTTTGGCTCCTTGCAAGTTGGACTATTTCATTATTTGCTGCTTTATTGCTCAAAGGATTTATTTATCCATCTATGAATTCTACTGACTGGAGAAAACCATTTGTTGCCTAGGGAATATTTTCAGTCACGTGTCCTCATCCGGATATATTTCTTGTGGCCAGAATTGAAAAAGTCCTCCAGGGAAGCATCACACACTGTGCTGAGCCGTATATGAAAAGCTCAGATTCTTCTAAGGTATGGAGGGCTTTCATGCTTTGTGATGTTAAAACAAAACAAAACAAAACAAAAAAAACCAAAATGAGAAACAACCTTTGTGTCAAAATATGAATGCTTAATGAGATCAAAGGTAAACCATATTTATTTATGGTCTAAGACATAGAGAGAGGTTGGGACAATAGCTCTGTGGGTAAAACACTTGCCATATAAGTGTGAGGGACCAGAGTTCTGATCCCCAGCACCCACATAAATGCTGGGCAGTGTGGCAGCTCACCTGGTATCTCAGCTCCCATGGGCAGGGACAGGGGATTCCCCAGGTAGGCTGGCTGGCTAGACTAACAAGAGCTTGGGTTCAAATGAGAGTTCTTGCCTCAATAAACAAAGTGGAGAGCAGTTAATGAAGACATGGAGCATCAACTTCAGTCCTCTATGGGCACACATACACACACACACTCACACGCACACATGTACGTGCACACACACACACACACACACACACACACACATACATTTTCACGCATGCATACCACACATGCAAAGAAAACCCAGAACAGTTACATGTATTTAGTCTCCATTTAATTGCATGTGTACAGATTCTTTTTGTCAGTGCTGGGAATTGAACCCAGGGTGTCAGCACGTCGAACCCAGGTGTATTTTCTGTCACTTTGCTACACTCACAGCCCCTTTGTCCAGCTTTTAATGAAAACACTCTCACATGTAAATAAAACATTGCATTTTGTTAGTTCTGATATCCTAAAATAGTTTTCAAAGTAATTGCTAGCTTGATAATGAACTCTCTGTCATTTCAAAGTATACATATTAGAGTCAAACGTCCTTGTTCCATTTGTTGGTGTATCTTGGGTTCTAGAGTCATAGAAATGATGAAATATCAGAAATTACCTAGTCCAAGATCTTCTTTCATTCTTTAGAAAAGTGAAGCCTACAAAACTTTAGTGGTTTTCTCAATGTCTCACAGCTAGAGTCTCCAAAGGACACCTGACCACAGCCTTCTAGAACATTGATCCTTCAGGATACAGTAAGCTGTTGAGTGCTGTTGTCCTTGCCAGCTTTAACAGTGTGTTTTGAGAGGTTATGTTTTGTTTGGGTTTGGTTTGGTTTAATATTATAATTGGTCATTTGAGAAATGGCCTTGAAGCATTAGCAAGGACCATCAGCAGTACAAGTGGACATGGCAGAGCTTTAAATTGAGGTTCACTAAGTTGATTCAGAGCTTCCTCCCTTCATCCCTATGGCCAACCATACATCCTAGGGACATCTACTAGGATGCGGGATGGTTGTTAAAGAACAGGTTCAGGGAGTAAGACGATGTCAATGCAGAGCACCTGACTAGCCTGGGTGATTCAGACAGTTGACACCTCTCTAGTCTGCAGATGTCCCGAATGTGAGTGTGGAATGATGTTACCCGCCCTGCCTTCCTCATAGGCAGTACAGCAGACAATGCTGTGGGCACTACAAATCACTGGAAGCTTGTGAGACATTAAGTAGTGTAGCTCCAGTCAAGGAAAAGCCCATTTACCAGACATCCTCAAACCCTAAGCTTGTTTGGCTATAAAAAATTGAGTAAAGTTTGTTCCCTAGAGAGAAATCATCTTATTTTTTCAAGCCAAGTCTGTAAATTCTTGGCTATGAAGCTCTTTTAAGTTTTTTATGTTTTAATTATCAATGAAGGCCTCAGATACCACTGTACTTATTCAAGCTTCCAAGGCCCATATACATCCACGTTGCTACTTCTGCTTACTGCATACGTGATTTGAAATTTGGCATCACTGGAGAGATGGCTCAGCGGTTAAGAGTACGTGCTGCTCTTCCAGAAGACTCATATCAGGAAGCTCATAACTGCCTATAACTGATCTGAAGCCTCTGTAGGCACCTGCATACTCATACACACAAACATGCTCATACTCTCTCTCTCTCTCTCTCTCTCTCTCTCTCTCTCTCTCACTCTCTCAAATCTTGGGACTGGAGTGTTCTCTCTCTCAAATCTTGGGACTGGAGTGTTTTCTCTCTCTCTCTCTCTCAAATCTTGGGACTGGAGTGTTCTCTCTCTCTCTCTCTCTCTCTCTCACATCTCTTGGGTCGGGTGTGGTCTCTCTCTCTCTCAAATCTTGGGACTGGAGTGTTGGTTAGTGGTTTAAAAGCACTTGCTATTAAAAAAAAAAAAAAGCACTTACTATAAAGGCAGAAGACCTGGTTTTGATTGATGGCTCACAACCATTTGTAGCTTCATTTCCAGGGGATCTGATGCCCTCTTTTGCCCTTGGTAGACACTGCATGCATGTGGTGCACATTCATAATATAAGGAAGAACATTCATATACATAAAATTTTTAAAAATTTAATTAAAGATATTTGGCAGCTCATACTCATGCAAAATTCACATATCACTTGGGCTAATGTTTCCTTTACACCCTTCCCAGTGTTTACTGGGTGTCTGTTGACATCTGCACCTCCTTTGTTACTTATGAATGCTACATCCATCAGTATGTATGTTATCCTTACATCCATTTCCCACCACCTCCACAGCATTACATTAAGACACAGATCAGGTTCGGCCATCTCAAACCAGCATAGAAGTTTAAATAGAATGGGCACTGTCATATTATTGTGTTCTGCCAAGTGAAGTTGTCTGTTCCTGTTTTCCAAGGTGGACACGATTCATCTAGAACATCATTTGGAACAAATTTCCATTTTTGAGGAAATTTTTTATGCAAAGTGTCTGGAAAATTTTTTAAACAGAAAAAAAAGAAAGAATGGAGGAAAATAGCTCAAAGGGAGACCTATTTTTTACTCCTATTTTCACAATCATTTTCTACTGATATCCTTGTTCAGTTCTGTTTGCTACAGGGAAGACCTAAATTTAATAAAGCCTTGTGTTTTAGTTTTAATTTTACTCCAAAACATATTCATTACTGTTGGAATCTTTTCAAGAAGAAAAAGGATTTGTGGTTCTTCAGATCGAATCCAGGGCCTTACTCGTCCAAGGTCAGCATTCTGTCACTGAGCTACAGCCTCAGCCTTGACTTTTTTGAAACAAGGTCTTACCATGTGTCTAGGACTGGCCTTGAACTTGTGCTCCTCCTGCCTCTGTCTCCTAGTGCTGGGGTTACAGGCGTGCACTACAACATCAGATCAAAAATCTTGAATCTGAACATATTTGAAGTAAATTATTTGGTGGGGGTGAGTTAGGTGTCTCTTCTCCAGCACTGGACATCCTTAGATCTTACTACTCATGCAGGAAGGGATGCACACACCCAACAAGGAAGGGTTATACTAGGTGATCAACTAATGAAGTCTGTTTGAACCAAGGTCCATTTTCCAGTGTACCCATGAAGGTAGTGATTCTCACAGCATGCCTGTGGGAGGGTCACAAAGTTTTGTCACTATAAGGATCATGAAAATTGTGCCCCAAGCCCTTCCTTTTCAGGTGAGGAAAGCAGAGCCAGATGTTAACAATCTGCAGAGCAGTTGCACAGCTGGATGTGATGGACTTACAGATGGGTAGCTCTATTGTTTAAGTCTCCTAGTGGGTGCTTCTCAATCACTGGAGGGCCTGTCAGGATGTAGGTTCCAGCCTAGCAGGGTTGGGGCAAGCCCTGAGACTCTGCGTTTCTAACAGCAACCCTGAGTCTGAAACTTGGTGCAGCACCATGGCTCACAGGTGCTAAAGCTAGTGTGACTTTGATGTACTTGGGTAGCAAGTACATATTTGAGCATGAATAGATATTTGAGCATCAAAGACCCTTTGGGTCCTTTCCCACACATATCAAAGACCCTTCATGTCCTGAACTTTCTAGATCAGTCATGCTTTGCATTGATAACAGTGCACTGCCACTGTACATTAGTAACAGATGTCTGGTTCATTCATAATAGAATCACTATACCTACTTGTCTTTGGCCAAAAACCAATGTGCTTCATGTTTACTGTAAGACTAGTTAGTCAACCTAGCACAAACCAGAATTAATAATTAGGAAGTGATAGTGGTAATAATTTATATTTAGAAAGCAAAACTATAATAATAAAAAGCCCTAGCCTAACTGAAGTTTGTACCTAATTATGTCTTAATAATAAATGTTTACCAAAATGTGGGAACAGATGACCAGCAGACACTGGGAAGTGTGCAGAGGAGAGGTTAGCCCAAGTGATATGTGAGTTTTGCATCAATAGTAACTGCCAAATATCTTTATTAATTTTTTAAAAATTTTGTCTACCAAAATGTGGAAATCTACCAAATATGGGAAGCTGGTATAGGTTAGGAGCCATAAATGCTCACTATGTATATTAATGTTCTGATTAAGATTCTGGTAATAGATATTTGAGCATGAATACCAGATATTAGTGTACTCGATGGGCTTACAGTTAGCCCTTAGTCAAAAAGAAATCGTTTGTGAAATCACCTGTTTGTTGCCTGCAAAGACCAAAGAAAATATATGCATCTTGGAAGCAATACTCTAGTTTTTGAGAATCACAGCCAGGGCTTACTTCAAGTAAAGCAGTCTGTGCTGAGGTGAATCCCACTATATGTGTAATTTTCCATGTATCTGGTGTCCTGGTAAGAAGTCCTTTCATGAACATGTGACACTGGCTCTTTGGGGCACAAGTCTCCTGTGGCTGAGTAGCTCGTGGCTATGTTCTAATGAATTCCAGGTCGCTCAGAAGGTACTGAAGAACGCCAAGCAGGCATGCCAAAGACTTGGACAGTACAGGATGCCATTTGCTTGGGCAGCAAGGTAAGGAGAATACCTTTTATAACTTGGATGGATGGATGGATGGATGGATGGATGGATGGATGGACGGATGGACGGATGGACGGATGGACGGATAGACAGATGGACCGACAGACAGGCAAGTAGACTAACCCATTCTGTTTATTATCTTGAGTCAAAGAGGATTCAGATTGGTAAAGCTGAGAGTAAATAATCCTCCACCCCAAATCTGAAATGGATTTAGCAGAGGCACAGGGAAGGAAAATGCTGGTCAGTGAGTAGCTGTTGAGCACTGGCTACAGGATTCCAGGCCTTGGACCTGTGCCTCTGCTGGGATGGGGGCAGCCAGGGAGCCTGCAGTGGCCTCTCTGTTCTTTGCTTCTTTCCCTTTGAATATGTATGTTGTTTCCTCAGTGCAAGTTTTTGGCTGGAAGTATTTTCTGTGTAAATTGAGTTAGTTGTGGTCATCCTCATTAATATTTTCTGTATTTTGCGATAATGAGATTTTAGTTGGCCACAGCCAATGGAATAATAATTAGTCTGTGTGCAGAAACCAGAGCTCAATAATGAATTGATTTTGGTCTTTGGGAATCTGAGTCTTTAAATGTTGTTTTGCTGTTTCAGGACATTGTTTAAGGATACATCTGGAAACCTGGACAAAAATGCCAGATTTTCTGCCGTCTACCGGCAAGACAGCAATAAGCTTTCAAACGACGACATGCTCAAACTACTCGCAGACTTTCGGAAGTGAGTTTTAAGGTCTTGGCTTGTTCCCACACCTGAGAAGTAGTTTGTGTGGTGTGGCCAGAGAAGCAGAAGTCATATACCTTATGTCACTCAGACATCATGGGGACGGGATGAGGAGAGGGTATGGGCAGAATGTGTCCTCCAGTCCAAGGAAAGGAAGTACAGGCTCTGATTAATTCATATTCTCTACCAGATCTTTTGGGTGGTTTGAGAGGAATGTGTTGAGAGTGGAGATGTGCTTACACAGGAAGGGACCATGGAGGGACCTCTGTCAAGACATGGAAACGTTGCAGTGGAGCCCCTTTGAGAGGAAATCAAAAGAAAGGGGACAGCTTTAAGTCATATCAGAGGCCCAGGTACTGGGCCTTCGCTTTCTGATTGGGTGTCAGGGTAGAAGGAGGAAAAGATGAGTAGTCATTGAAGATAAACAATTCCCAGGCTTCTGAGTACAAGATTAATTGACAAATGTGGGGTGAGGAAAGATAGTAACGGTCATAATCCTTGCTTTATTTAGGCATTGTTCTAAATGCTTTGCTTATGTTAATGAGATAATTGGGTTCCCTAGGCTTCCATAAGTACTGGAAACCAGATTGTTTAATACATGGAAAGTTGCTTAGGACTAGAAGCCTGAAGAAAAAGTGTTGGCAGGACCACACCTGCCTCTTCTGGTTTCAAGTGGCCCCAGACCATCCTTGGTTTGTGGCAACATCAGTCCAGACTCTGGCTCTGTCCTCATGGGGCCATCTCCCTACCAGGCATACCAGAGGAGGATCAACCAGAGTGACCTCATCGTAACTGTTTGTGTCTGCAAACACCCTGTTTCCAAACAAGGTCACATTCATAAGCACCAGGGGCCAGGACTCAGCCATTTTTTTTAAGAGGATACATTTCATTTGATCAGAGTAAGGCAAAGAAAGATGATGATGTAGTGTCACACAGCTAGTAGTAAAAGTCAGTGTGGCCTGAGATCTGTGCTTTCAACTGCTATGCTGTTTCAAAGTTTCATCCACATGAATTCCCTTCAGAACTAGGAAACTCATTTCATTTTAGAGTTTTTCTCTGAATGAAAAAAAACCTCATAGTTCTCATTAGATAATGCAGTGTCAATACTCTATTTACATTATAGATGTTCTTTCAGAAACATGTTCATTGTGTAAATTTGGGGAAATTCAGAGAAATACTTTACCTTTCATGGAAAGGGGAGCATTCTTTTTTGTTCTCCCCCCACCGTCCACCTTTTACCCGCCAGTGCTGGGGACAGAACCCAAGTCTATCCTTACATGGATTTTAGTTTATGCTAGATGTGTATTATTTCTCTGAATAATAATGAGTCTCTCCTCTTCCTCTAACTTCTCCTCCCCCCTCTTCTGAAGGGTCTCGTTATATAGCCAAGGCTGACCTCAACCTTGTGATCATTCTGCCTCAGCCTCCTGAGTGCTGAGATTAGAGGCCTGACTGTAACAAGTATTTTCTGAAGGTATTATGCATTTTCCTGAGCATAATTTTAACATCTACTAATGAATATGATCGTAGTCCATGGAGCAGGTGATCCTTATTTGGACCTTGATTTGGACACAGAGTATTTCTCTCTGTCTCTCTGTCTCTCTCTCTCACACACTCTCTCTTACTCTCTCTTGCTTTCTCTTAGATTTAGCAAATTCTATCTTTAAAAAAAACCTCTTGCTAACACTATGTAGCAGATTACTACACATGCTGTTTTACATGTATTATTATTTTCCACTTGAGTTCCAACTTTTGTCATCTTTATAACAGGTTCGTTTTTTTGAAAGATTAGTCATGTTTAGTTAAATAGATTACATTTTTTGTTACATTTATTTTTTATTATTTATTTATTTTGGTTTGTGGGTTTATGTGTACATTGAGAGATCAGATGACATATTGGGGGACTTGGTTCTCTCCTACCATGTGGGTCCCAGGGATTGAACTCAGGTACTCAGTTTTGGTATCAAGTGCCTTTACCAGATGAGCCATCTTGCTGGCCCCAGATTACATTACCTCATCTCACTGGACTCCATGTCTTTTCATCATGAGTAGGTCTTTATGAAATTGAAAAGGTAAACATGCTGTTTCTAAGGAAGAAATCCTGTATCAAATGACCTTTTTAGGTATGTGTGTGAGTGTGTGTGTGTGTGTGTGTGTGCGTGTGTGTGCGCACACATGTGAGGAGGTAAGCACAGGAACAGGCCAGGGAGGATGTTGGGTGTACACCTCTCTCACTCTCAGCCTTATTCTGGAAGCTTTCCATTTTTTGGCTAGACTGGTGCCCATCAAGTCCCAATGATCCTTCTGTGTTTGCACCCCACAGGCATGTACAAGCACACATTTTTTACGTGGTGCTGGAGATTCAAACTCAGATCCTTATACTTCTGTAGCAAGTGCTCTCACCCATTGAGCCACCTCCCAGCCATTTCAAATACCTCTATTTTAAAGAGAGTATTTTATGTATTAGGTCTTAGGTTAACTAAAACACTAATCACAGTTATCTCTGAAGGGTGGATTTTATTTTATTTCTTTCTACTTTATAGTATCTAGAACATCCATCACTTTTGAAATTTCTATTTACTTTCATGTTTAGGCAAAATAATGTTGTTCCTATGTGACAGAGGTTGAAGCCCTGTCTCTGAAGTTACTTCCGCCTGGCTGAGGTTTTCCCTCAGGGATAATGCCTCAGTCCTTCTCATATGCCTAGCTACCCTGAAGGCCGGAGAGTGGGACTTCACAAGCTTACTAGTTAGAGAATGACTTGAACAGAAATCCTCCAGCCCAGCAACATGCATGGCCTTCACTGGTTCAGAGCACAAGGAGAAACTGTTGCTTTCTACCTGCCATGCCTCATGTCTCTGTCCAGTGGGAAGGTTTTATTGCCAAGAGCATATTACAAGGGGCCAGTTTGAGGCCCCGAAACCCCAAAATAGGGAACGTGTACTAATAGCCTCAAAAAAGGCAACAGTACTGGAGTGGCTGTCATCCTCAGTATGAAAGTAGCAATGCAGCCTGCTTCTTCACATTGTTGGGGAGGTGGAGGATCCTTTTTGTTTATTTTAGTTTTTAGGTTTTGTTTTTAGGGTTTTTTTGTTTTGTTTTGTTTTTTCTTCTTTGATTTATTTATATATTTTTATGGGGATTTTGGCTACTCTAACATCCCCCCTCTGAAGAGGTAAACCTAAAATCTTTTAAGGATTAGATACAAGTTTGCAAATACTTTTGACATTTTTGGCCTTTGGAACAGAGTACATTGCTAACAGGCCCAAAGACATTTTGACTTTTAGCCAAGAAATTGGCTACTTTTCTTTGGGCTCTTTTTACCCTAACTGCCTGGCCAATTCCTGCCTCCTATTCTTATCACACCATCCTCTGAAGGGGTTACCCAAATTGCCAATAGGGAATAGGGACACAGACCGCTCTGGCATCTTTCTTCCGTGCTGAACAGGGATGCAGGGTGAGGCAATTGGAGTACCCCTTCAGTGGGTCTATCTAAAAGACTCCCAAATTGCATAACTCTTATCTCTAAGGGGAAAAGAAAGTCCTTGAATCATGAATAGATGTGAAGGAGAAGTAAAGGCAAGAGTAATTAGCATTACAAGTTCTAGACAGCGAATTAGAAAAAATTCAGAACAGGGCAATTTTTAAATATTCATTTGAGAGTTCATTGGAGTTTCTTGACAAGGGTTTCCAAAAGCATCCCTCTATTGGATTCCTCCTCATTTTTCTTTTGTCTACCAAGACTGGACTCGAGAGTGATGGATTCAGGATTTGCTTTCAGGCATTTTGATAGCTGTTGGAGTAGTTAGAATCAGTGTCAGTTCCCTCTCAAAGGTTTCTAGATAGGGGGAGAAAACAAATTTGTCCATCATTTTAAAACAATAGCTGGTTGTTTCCCTTAGCTACAGTGGGCACTACAGCATTGGAGACCAAGATTTGAAGTCTTACATCTGAGCAGCCCTTTCTTGTTAGGGACAAAATCATCAATGAGAAATAATTGTCTAAATAACTTTTTATATAGACTTAAGCGTAATGTCTGGGAAGTGTAATCCCTTGAACTCTTAAAGAAATATACTGATGACTTTACTCTTTGATTATACTTTCCTTTTGGGTGTTTAAGACCATACAGTTGGCTCAAATAAATGAATTTATTTTTACACTTAAGGTCATTTGAGGATCTCTTCCTCAGGGGTCACATCAACTTGGGAGGAGCTCCTGGCTCCTTTCTTTGACCAGTTCCATCTATGTGGAAATAAGTCAAAGGTCCTGCTCAACCATGTTTGGCTTCACTTGGAAGCATGGATGAGATGTTTCCTCTAAGTTGACCCTCCTCTTTGTAGACTGGACACTAGTTCAGGTCTATCTCGTGGGATCTCCATGGCCTCCCTGAACAAGAGGACAGGTGACTCACCATATCTATAGGACATTTTGAGAGATGATCCATAGTCCCCTGGAACTTAGTTGACCTTGGAGGGCAAGGAGCAAAAATTGTCAAGTCCCTCTAACCAGATTAGTATAGGCCTCAAAGTATGACTGTTAAACATCCAGTAAAGTTAGTGTAGAAAAAGCTTGGGCAAAAAAATAGTCCCAGATAAACATTGGCTAGATATATATTTTGTTCCTTAAACTAGTCAACTAAACTATGACCTTAGAAAATTTATGATTATGTGTATATTATTTTTCTCTCATCAAAGAAGTCTCAGAACATAGAAATTTTAAGATTATATGTATATTATTTTTTTCTTATCCTTTATATATCATAACAAACCTAAACAGACCTTTATCACTTGCTTAGACGTTTTCATTTTTTTCTATTTTTGAAAATACCTCCATTCCCATATCCTATTAACATCTTTTACATTCTCATTTTCGTTTTTTTAAAACAATTATGAGACATAATAGCATTAAGAAATAAATTTTCCATCTGTTCTGAGACTTCTTTTTCTGGGGATGCTAAGCAATGCTTATTCCCTTTTAAGGTTCTAGTGTCAAACCAA